GATGATGCTGCTGCTGATGATGACGATGCTGCTACTGCTGCTGATGATTACGATGCTGCAAGTGATGCAGATGATGCTTAACAGGATGTGGTGGTGGGTGATGGTGACGGTGACGGTGACTGTTATGGTTGTGGCTATGGTGGGGGTAGCGGCGACGATGACGATGGCGATGACGATGCTGATGCCGATGATGATGACGACGATGCTGATGATGGTGCTGATTATGATGATGCTGCTGATTATGATGATGCGACTGGCGATTCTGATGCTGCTGCTGCTGCTGAGGATGGTGATGTCGCTGATTGGGTTGATGATGGCGATTCTGATCATTCGATTGCTGCTAATGATGCTGATGACGCTGACGACGAGGATGCTGCCGATGATGATGCTGAGTATGCTGACGCTGATTATGATACTGATACTGGTGATACTGTTGATGATGTTGCTGCTGCTGATGCTGCTGTGGATGATGAGGATGATGGTGATGCTGTTGCTGATGATGATGCTGATGCTGCTGCTGCTGCTGATGATGATGCTGATGACGATGTTGAACCGGATGCTGCTGCTGATGATGATGCTGGTGATGATGATGAGGAGGAGGAGGATGAAGGACGATTTGGCAGGCGGTGGGCGATACTGAGAAGGATGAGGCGGACGAGGAGGGAGACAGGAAGGATGATTATGACGAAGGAAGAGAAGCGGCAGCTGAGGGATACGGACAGGAGGGACGATGAGCTGGAGCAGAGATAATCTTCTCGAGAATGCGGCAAGCGGGGGAAAAGGGGATGACAACGAAACGACGCGATCCGAGGGCAATACGCAGGATGAGGAGCAGTGAGCAGCACGACCACAAAAACGCGAGGGAGGCTACTCACAAGAGAGCAGGGACACAAGAGCAAGAACCAGAGAGCAAGAACACACGAACAGCAAGGCCCTGATGGTGATGGGGCGCAAATAACAACACACGCGGATCAACGAGCAGCAAGAACACGAGAACCGTGGGAATGGATGGGGGCACCCGCCCGCAAGCATCGTGCCCGCGAGGCGTGCCGCCCCGCAGCGGATGTTACGTGTGCCCCCCCTCCCCTCGTTGGGCCTCTTGGGGCCTCCTAGGGGCCTCTTGGGGCGGACGGCTCAGATTTTCGGGTCGTGTTCCCTCTCTTGGGCCTCTTTTGGGGCCGTTCTTGGGCCTTCTTGGGTCGTCTTAGGACGCCTCTTGGGCCGTCTTGGGGTTTTCTTAGGCTGTCCTGGAGCCCTCCTGGAGGCCTCCCCTCCACACCTCACTTTCCCTCACTTCCCCTCCCCCCTCCCGTCTTCCTCGTACTGTCGGCGAACAGCATGCGAGGTTGGACGCACCCCCCCGATGGGGTACCCCCAAGACGTGCATCTCGCGGCATCGGGACAGGACTGCGCAACCAGAACGAGAAGAGGGGCCATGCTTAGATGGGGACGATGCAGGAGGGATCAGCGAAGAGGAAAAGGGACACACAACGTGCAATAGTGTGGGGGGATAGAGGGGGATGGGGAAGAGGTGGCGGAGGCGGGATGGACATGCTGATGGGAGGGGAGGAGGAGGAGGAGGAGGAGGAGGAGGAGGAGGAGGAGGAGGAGGAGGAGGAGGAGGGAGGAGCAGGAGGAGGAGGAGGAGGATGAGGACGAATGCGGACGACGAATCCGAGGATGATGAGCAGCAGGGGCTGAGGATAAGGAGGAGGGAGAAATAACGAGAGAGAGAGAGAGGCAGATACGAGACAATGACACATGCGGACGTAGGAGGGAGAGCGAGGATGGGAGCGGGGAGCGAGACCCTCCATCTTACCCCCTCCGTCCTCCATCCTCCTCCGTCTCACCTTCCTCCCTCACCCTTCTCCTCTTCCCTCTCACCTTCCTCCCCCATCCCTCTCACATTCCTCACATCAGCTCCTCTGACCTCCTTCCCCTCCTTCACTCTCCTCCGCCTCGTCCTCGTCCTCCTCCTCGCCTTCGCCCTCGTCCTCGTCCTCGTCCTCGCCCCCTCGTCCTCCTCCGCGTCCCCCTCGTCCTCGACCTCCTCGTCCTCCTCGTCCTCGTCCTCCTCGTCCTCCTCGTCCTCGTCCTCATCCTCCTCCTCCGACTCGCTCGCGTCCTCGTCCTCGTCCTTGTCCTCGTCTCCCTCCTCCCCCCTCTCGCTTCTTCCTCTGTCCCCCGTCCCCGATCCCATTCGCTCGTGACCCCGCGCGAGGCCTGGCTCGTCATCATGGCCAGCTCCCCGAAGCCCGCCCAACGGAGGACGGGCATCATGCGGCCGACCTCCGCCCGGGGTCTCGAGAGGGAGGATGGAGGACAGTGGGAGGAGGACGAGAAGGAGGAGGAGGAGGAGGAGGAGGAGGAGGAGGAGGAGGGGAGGGGATCCATGCTGCTGATGAAGATGATGATGAAGCTGATGCTGATTATAATCCTGCTGATGATGATAATGTTGCTACTGATGATGATGATGGCGATGAGTATGAGACTGCTGCTGCTGCCGCTGCCACTGTTGATGATGCTGCTGATGCGGTTGACGATTGTGATGCTTACGATGCAAATTCGGATGATGCCATGATGATGGTGATGATGGTGGTGATGATGACGCTGCTAATGATGCGCATGCTGACTATGTTGATGATGATGATGATGCTGATGATGATGATGATGATGATGATGATGATGATGATGATGATGATGATTGTGGTGGTGGAGATGATGATATGGGGATGATGCTGATGATGACGATGAACATGATGATGCTGATGATGCTCATGGTGATGATGATGCTGCTGATGAGGATGAATGGGATGAATATGAAGACGACTCTGCATATGAACATGTTGATGATGAGTATGATAACGATGCTGATCATGATGACGATGCTGCTGCTGATGATGATCAGGGTAATAATAATGATGAGTATGATGAGTATGATGATGATGATGATGATGATGGTGATGATGATGGTAGTGGTGATGATGATGCTGATGCTGATGCTGCTGATGATGATGCTGTTGATGATTATGAAGATTATTCAGAGTAGGTATGAGTATGATGATGATGATGGTGATGACGACGACGATGATATGGATGGGGAAGCGGGGGAGGAGGCCAGGGGATGGGGGAGGGGTGGGGAGAGATGAGAAAGGACAAGCTAATCAAGCGTGCTCGCGACACACCTGATATCCGAACCCTCCTCGCACCCGCTTCCACTGCGCTCCATCTTTTCCGATTCGCCGATCCAGGCGTCGTGCCGCACGTCCGTCGGCCCGCTCGCCCGCCCGCCCACCCGCTGGGCTGCCCGCCCACCCGCCCGCGCGCCCGCGCGTCCGCCCGCCCGCCCGCTCACCAAGCCGCCCGCCCGCCCGCTTGCCCATCCGCCCGCATGCAATCACGCCCGCCCGCGCGCCCGCGGGGCCGCCCGGTCGCAGAGGCCCTCCGCGCTCCGCCTGCTCATCCTCATCATCCTCATTGTCGCTCCTCCTCCTCCTCCTCGCTCCTCCTCCTCCTCCTCCTCCTCCTCCTCCTCGCTCTTCCTCTCCCTCCCTCGCTCCCTCCCTCCCACGCCCTCCCTCCTCCCTCCTCCCCTCCGCCCTCCCACGTCCCCTCTCATCGTCCTCCAGGTCATCCTCATCAGCAAGGCACCCTTCCTGTCAAGACCCGTCAGGGCACCTTTCTGGATTCCACCGCGCACATCGATGTGCCTTCAGAACGCCCTTGCGATACCTCGGGGTACCTTCAGGATGCCTCGGGATACCCTCTGGACGACCCAGAACACCTCATGACACGGACGGATACTTGCGGATACCTTGAGGACACCTTTTGGATACCTCTGGACGCCTTCCCAAAGCGCCCAATTCAGCCCAAGGTGCTCGTAGGGTCGGCGGCAGAGGCGGCAGCCTCTAAATACTGAGAAGGCGGGAAGGGGGGCGAGGCGGAATGAGATGAGTGAGGGTGATAGGGAAGGTAAGGAAGGGAGGAGGGATGAGGAGGAGGAGGAAGAGGAGGAGGAGGAGGAGGAGGAGGAGGAGGGGGATGATGATGATGATGATGATGATGATGATGATGATGATGATGATGATGATGATGATGATGATGATGATGAGAGGAGGAGGGAGGAGGAGGAGGAGGAGGAGGAGGAGGAGGAGGAGGAGGAGCGAGGAGCAGGAGGAGGGGGAGGCGGAGGAGGAGGCGGAGGAGGCGGAGCAGGAGGAGGAGGAGGAGGCGAGGGATGGGATGGAGGGAGTAAAGAGAACAAGCGGAGGGAAGGGCCGTTGGAGGGAGGGAAGCGGAGAGAGGGAGCGGGAGGGAAGAGGAGAGGGAGGGAAGAGGAGCAGGAGGAGGAGCAGGAGGAGGAGGGGGAGGAGAAAGAGGAGAGGAGGAGGGGGAGGAGGGGAGGAGGAGGAGGAGGAGGAGGGGGAGGAGGAGGAGGAGGAGGAGGAGGGGAGGAGGAGGAGGAGGAGGGAGAAAGGGATTGCGCAAAGGAGCGAATGAAGGAAGGGGAGGGACAGAGAAGCGGGAGAGGCAGGGAAGCACGAATCGGGGAGATGGCATGGGGGGAGGAACGAGAGAGGGGGGAGTGAGGGAGAATGCAGGGAGGGAGGGAAGGAGGGAGGGAGGGAAGGAGGGGGAGGGAACGAGGAGGGGGAGGGCACGAGAGAGGGAAGGAAGGAGGGAGGAAAGGGGAGGGAACGAGAGAGAGGGAGGGAGGGAGAATGCAGGGAGGGAGGGAAGGAAGGAGGGTGATCAAAGGCTGGGGACAGCAATAAACTCCGCCCCGTCCCTGCGGTCTCGCCAGACTTGTGCGGAGAGAGCTGCACCAAAGACCAGAGTCCACCTCGACAACCGTTGGTCGGGACGAGACGACAAGAAATTCAATTGCTACCAGCGCATCGCAGCCCTTCCGCTTTTCCCTGGGCCTCCACGGCCCTTGCCGCCCCGGCCGTTCTGCTCCTGGTCCCCTCCCCTCCCCCGCCTCCCCTCCTGGCCTTCACCATCCTTGATCCGCCTCCGCATGGCCTTGTGCACATCGTGGCGTTTATCCTGTTAACCTTCACCTGGCTTTGGCCACAGCCAGATGGGGTGCTTTACAACCAGAGCGTGCGGACCACACTTGCTTGTGCTCCCCCCCACAATTGGCTTTGACAAACGCAGCGCGGGCCAAAGCATATCACGATGAAGACAGCGTGTCCTAATACATCAGGGGGACAATTTTGTGAATTCTGCAGGTGGCGACGTCGACTCACACTGCCGTGGCCGTGATTGGGGTCCAGCCACTACCGAGTAGCTTGTTCATAGAACGACTGCTTCGCTCAACAATCGCAGCTTGGCGAGACATTGCGTGGTGGACACATCACACACCATATCAGGAAAACAAGCTCGATCACGAGACGACGCGGTGGACACGGCGCAACACTGTCGCAAGAAACCAACGTGCCTCGAGGAAAACGGGTCCTGGACCCGGGGGCCTTCCCCCAGGACCAATTCTTCATCCGGAGCCGTCTCTTTTTTCTTTGTTGTTGTTCCAGCTGGCGCAACGGGCTGACAGGTGCACCGCTCAGACAAAAGCACTGGCATCTAGGACGGGTTGGACAAGCTTGTGCGGCCATTTGTGATCATAGCAGCGGGGTGCTGATTCGGTGGGTCTGTTGTGGGACTGATGGGTCCGAGAGAGAGTGAGAGAGAAAGGAAGAAAGAAAGAAATAGAGAGCGAGAGAAAACAGAGCGAGCAATGATCTGCGTGCTTGGTCTTCTCAATGGGCCAAGAGAGTGATCCACTGGAGTCCCACGGCAACTTCTGTGAAAGCACGCTGCCGCAGCCACTGCCTTTCTCGGCAGAGGTAGCCACGCCAGCGCCAGATCGAAAGATCGCCTGCTGCTGTGTCGCCGACACCACGGATGCGGCTCTCTGAGCCGGACGGGCCGTGGGCGAATGGAAAAAACTAGCATGGCGGTGGCATGCAAAGGAGGAGTGATGATGAGGTAGCTGCTCGAACGGGAGCGGAGGTCGTCTGGCAACGGCTTGCCGCACCCACGTGCCAGGCTGGCGCGTGCGAGAAAACCAGACAACTTCAACTCGAGGAATGGCGCTCTTCGCTGCGAAGCTAATTCGCCCGTGGCAGGACGTGGCACCAGGCCTTCAACGGGGGGACATATGCAGGCGCGGATCACTTGGGCCACAGCCCCCCCGTGTACGTCGATTCTGTGCTATGCCCCCCCCCCCTCCCCACGTTTCTATCCATGGATCTCGTGGCCCCCGCCCGGCTTCCAGCTGGCTCACTCCTGCGGAAGCACTGCCGAGCCAACGCTCTGTGCAGGTTGTTCTCACGGCGCTCTGTCCTCCTGGTCCGAGGTCCAGAGCGTCAGATTGTCGCGAATCAGCTGCATGATTAGGGTGGAGTCCTTGTACGAGTCCTCCCCGACGTTGTCAAGCTCGGCGATCGCGTCCTCGAAAGCGATGCGCGCCATCTTGCACGCCTCGTCCGGATTCCCAACCACCTCGTATAGGAACACTGAGTAGTTCAGAACAAGACCAAGGCGGATCGGATGTGTCGCTGCCAAGTCCTTGGTGGCAACCGCTTGCGCTTCCTCATAGGCAGATTGGGCGTCATTCGAAGCCTTTGTCTTGACATCGTCGGTGGTGTATTCGGCAATGTAGCGATAGTAGTCGGCCTTCATCTTCTGGTAAAATACCTTGGACTCGACTGTCGTTGCCTTCCCGATCAGGCCGTCGTTCAACAGAGCAAGGATCTGCTTACAGATGGAATCGAGCTCACTTTCCACCTTCTTACAATACTCCTTCGCCCACTGTGCGTTCTCATCGTTGCCCCTGCTGAGCTCTTTCTGCTCCACGCTGGTGATGATGCGCCACGCCGCGCGGCGCGAACCCACGGCGTTCTTGTAGGCCACTGACAGGAGGTTGCGCTCCTCAACCGACAGCTCGTCCCCCGACTTCCCCACTGCCTCCATGTGGGTCGCCATCTCGTCGTAGCGCTCCGCCTGCTCCGCGAGCTTCGCGAAGTAGACCTCCTTCTCGCGAGCCGCCGCCATGCTTGCAACTGCCGCTGCCCGTGCGGGGGGGGGCCCGCGGCCGCAGCCTCCGCCGGCCAGAACGACTTGGCCGAGCCGGCGCGGCCGGAACCCAGACGGCCTGAGCCAAAATGGCTGCGGACCTCTTCCTCCGGAGCCGTCTCTGGACAGTCCCGTGGCCCGTGCATGGGCCCCGGGGAGGCCGACGTCGGCCGGAGACATCAGGAGCCGCTGCCCCTCGGGACCCGTGCCCCTCGCGGCGACTGCTCGCGAAGGCGGCCTCGGTGGGCAGCGCTGCGCCTCTCTCTTCGGGGCCCTACTGGCCCCGGTCAATCCAGACCCGGGCCACTCAGGATTTCCGCAAGATCCTGCAGGATCCTGTGGGATCCTGCAGGATCCTGCACCCAAGCCCTGGTCAGTGCAACCCTGGCCCTGCAGGGTCCTGCAAGATCCGGCGCTCTGACCGACCCCCTGTTGACTGACCCCCGTCTCTTGAGCCCCAATCTCGCCGCGGCGGCGCGCCGCCGGCTGGACAGCCGAGGAGGAGGCGGAGAAGGAGGCGGAGGAGGAGGAGGAGGAGGCGGAGAAGGAGGCGGAGGGGGAGGCGGAGGAGGAGGAGGAGGAGGAGGAGGAGGAGGAGGAGGAGGAGGAGAGGAGGAGGAGGAAGAGGAGGAGGAGGAGGAGGAGGAGGAGGAGGAGGAGGAGGAGGGAGGAGGAGGAGGTAGCAGGTCAGGAGGGGGAGAGGAGGAGGAGAAGGAAGAGGAGGAAGAGGAGGTGGAGGAGGAGGAGGAGGGAGGAGGAGGAGGAGAGGCGGAGGAGGAGGAGGGGAGGAGGGGAGAAGGCGGAGGAGGAGGGGGAGGAGGAGGAGGAGGAGGAGGAGGAGGAGGAGGAGGAGGATCTACCCCCCCCTTTGGCCAGAAAACCTTTTCAGACGCGCAGCGTGGCAACGCGGCAGGTTACAAGGTTAGAGGCACGAGCTGACGGACGGCCGCCTTTGGCGGCTGCAAACAGTTGCAGTTTGGTCTGGTGAAGCCTGGAGATCTCCCCCAAGTTAAAAGAGAAAGAAAGAGAGGGGAGGCAGGACGGGGTTCGGGATGGCGCAACAAAAAACCTGGAGGGTTGAAAACGGCCGCGGGGAAGAACGATCAATGCTGTGCAACGCGCTCTCATGATCTGCCCCCCCCCTTGGCCAGAAAACTTTTTCAGACGCGCAGCGTGGCAACGCGGCAGGTTACAAGGTTAGAGGCACGAGCTGACGGACGGCCGCCTTGGGAGGCTGCAGACAGTTGCAGTTTGGTCTGGTGAGGCCTGGAAATCTCCCTTATCCACGAAGTGGACTGCTTAAAAGGCGTTTGTACATTAATTCTGATAGCACCTTAGTCAGCTCTTTAGGATAGGCTTGAACACGTAGAATATTCCAGTGCCCCGAACAATCTTTACCCTCCAAGACGGTATGGCGGCAGCCTGTACGAGAACATAAACCATTTGACATAACACATCTGCGCTCTGCTGGAGAGAGATCAAGTCCATGGGATAACAAGGTCGTACTCTTTTTCCAAGCTTCTCCGTACTGACAGAAATCCAAGTGCACAAACGCGGGAGATAGAACCTCGGCCCCTGAGGAAGTCAGCTTTGCGAGCTTTTTCGTAGCGGGGGCCTTCTAGACACGATTCGTGCGAGGGTTCTCGATCGCCCAAGGGGTCCCAGCTTTAGACGCGGCCCGGCAACATCGCACAACAAACCACATCAACTGATTTCCTTCCCTGACTTTCTTGGCGTCTTTTTCCCCAAGGCTTGGACGTCCCATGATAAACTTGGCTTCGTCCCGAAGTGGCCCTGGACCAGTTCCACCCCATCGTCTCGCTCTGCTCCAAGTATTACAGGGCAACCCGAACCACAGACAGCCAACCCTCCTGCTTCTAATCAGGGCGAGGACGCGCTGCTGGTTTTTCCTCTCCAGCAGATTCACATCATTCAAAATGTCCAAGCCCTCAGCTCGGACGCCGTGCCTTCTCAACGACGCAGTCAAGCGGCCTGATCCTGAGAAGACCTCAAGGCAGCCTCGGCGACCAACAGGCCCCCATCGAGCTCCGCCAGCGCGCGGGGCCGGAGACCTGCGCCGAGCTCTCGTCACTTCCTTGCCGCCTTCGGCGGCTGCAGGGCGGCCTTGCGCCCCATCAGCACGTCGTCGAGAACGGCCGCGCACTTTTTCACATGATCGAGGACGTGAGGCGCGAGCGTCGCGAGCATGTTCTGAACCTTTCCGATCTTGGTATATCGACGAACGGAGCTCTCGGTCTGCCACCTGCCGCGGGCCATCACCGTGGCCCTGTCCCTGTGCTTCCCGACGAGGTCGTGGGCGGCACCTCCGTGCCGGCACTGGTAAAGCGACAGGCGATCGCGAAGTCCGAGGTCGAGAGCAGCTTTGTTCATCAGTTCGTTCACCTCCACTGGAAGTCGAACAGGAAGGCGTCCCTTGCCTTGCCCCGAGCACGCCTGTGCAGCGCCGCGCCGAGGTTGGGCAAGTACTCTTGGTCGAGGATGAAGCTGTTGTCGCACGCCCCGACCTTGTCTGGCACCTTCTCGTCGGGCCCCCTGATGATCACCGTGTAGTGGCGGAATCCGTGCCCCGCCCCCGCCACCGGCGGGACCGCATCCTTTGCGCGAATGCTCGGCCCCTCCGACGGCCTCAAGTAGCACGCGAAGCACACCGCCAGGTACAACGCCATGTCCTGCCTTCCCTGCTGCGCCAAGTGCATCGCCAGCGCCGCCAGGATGACCCAAGGCAGCGGCAGCAGGCTGGTGGCAGGAGCGACCTTCCTCCACCCCTTCAAAGCCCTCTGGGCTCGCACCAGCGACCAGATCTGGCCGCTCTTCGCGTGGGCCTCCGCGAACTGGACGGCCGCGATGGTCTTCTCCGCGAGCGAGGGGCCGTGCCCGTCCAGGAACTTCACGTCGAAATAGTCCACGAGCAGCAAGTCGGTCTGCGCCGAGATGGCCGTGGGCAGCCCGTTCTCCGTGCAAAAGTCCCTGAACTCCTCCAGGTAGAAGTCGTAATCTTGACTCATCCTGGCCGAGACACTGCGCTCCTCCAGGCGAGACTTCATGCCCCGCCACGCCAGCAGCTTTCCCTTCGGGTCGAGCGCCTCCTCGGCCTTCCTCTTGTGCGACGTCAGGTCGAGCGCCGCCCGGGTGCCCAAGGGGGGCAAGGGGCGGCGGTCCTCCGGAGCCTCCGCCAGCGCCGTCAGCAGGCGCTGCTCCTTGGGAGACGCGCGGCGGTTGTGCTCCTTCTCGCCAGCGCTCCAGCCCCGGAGGCTCCGGGAGCCAGTTGGCGCCGCCGCTGGCGCACGGGAGAGGGCGCACCAGCTGCCTGCTTCCTGCCGACCAGCTGCCTCTCCCTGCCCCCGCGCGACAGCAGCGTGGGCCCGGCGGCGAGCGTCCGCTCCTCGCGGCGTGAGGGTTCGTCTGCAACATTGAACTCGCTGGGGGCCCAGCGCGGCCGAAGGCGACTGTTGGTGGCGAGCAAAAGGGCGCCCGCCTGCTGGCGCACTCTGAGCAAATCATACGAGCAAGCACGACCCTTGGACAGCGCGAAGCACAACCCCATGTTGTCGACGAGTAACAAATGTCGCTTCCCAAAGTTACGGTGAGCCCGAGAAAGACGTCTGAGCGCCAAGATAACCGTCCTACCTTCCTTGATCGTGATATGTTCGTCCAGGAACTTCCAGGTGCCATGCAAGACGACGTCCCAGGAATCCTGCTTCGTGAGGCCGAAAGGCACCTCGGGGAAATCGGGGTCCTCGGTGTACTTGAAAGAGTCCCAATCGCCAGCGTCGTCCCGAAGACCCTCCTTGGAGACCCCGGGGGCCCAGACGCACCCAGCAGAAGCGAGGCCCTCTTGGGGGTCCAACCCTAGCGAGCGAGACCTTGGGGCCCATAGGTCAGGAGCAAGTCTTTTAAAACGCCACCTCTCATTCCACCTCGCAATCCTTCGAACGCTCTCAACATCAAGATCGCGCTGGCAGACTCCGTACCCCGTCGGCGAGGCATCGGTACACGTGACAGTGGGGTTCCACTCCTGACGAAGATCAGCGACGGCGAGTGGCAGAATACCAGTAATGCTGCGACACTCTTTGCAGCAGCTCGGCCAGAAACGTTCGGGCTCGCAGCTCTGCGTAACGCAGTCATGCAGGTGCCGCAAGACTGGGGGCGTGCTTCGATTCAACATAGCGATATAAATGTAGTGCCCGATAAGCCTCTCGACGGTTTTTGCGGAAACCACGGGCCCAATACTCAACCAGTCACGATCAACTTCCAAAGCTTGTCGGGGTCCGGGCTGAGAGTACCTGCACCCCCATTTAGAACCGAGCCCAGCACGCGGGCGAAGAGGGGCGGTCCCGAGATTTCGTGTATGGTGAAGCCGTCCTGCTCCATATCTTTCTGAACATCATCGCGCAGCTCTCCAGCTTGCTTGCGCGAGAAAACGCCCGCGTTCAGATTATCGCAGTACGCCATGTAGACGCGCTTGCCTGCCTGCAGGCTCGGGGCGGGGTGCCCGTCCACAAGAGCGAACTTTTCCGAGACCTCCATTCGTGCAGCTTGCATGTGGTACTCTTGGACCAACCAAAACGACCAGGTAAAATCCATTGGCAGGACAGTCGAGCACATCGATACCTTCTCATTCAACCTGAAACCGCTCAAGAGCTACCCCGATACACCAGCCTCCAGCAGATCCCCGACGACGGCATCGACCTCAAACGCGAAGAAATCTGAAAGCTCATCGGAGATCCCGCACTCGTAGAAACATTCCTTGATGTCACCCTCGGCCCAATACAGGGCCTGGCCTACGGGGTCTCCAGGTCGCTCAAAGAACTTAAACCACCTAACTCAGTATGCGAGGGAGGGGCGAACCTAAGCTTACATTGACGACAGTCGAGAACCAGGCGTTGCATCCCCGATTTCTTTAAAACCGTGAACGCCCCGATTCGAGCAGCAGGGCGCCGAGTGAACCTCGCAGGTCCCCGAGAGGCCACCCTGGAGGCGAGAGCCTTGAACCCCCGGGGGGTCTTCAAAAGCGGGTCCGTGTAAGGGGGCGCTCGGGGTGCCTCGTCCGACAGCTGGCTCCAAACCGCTCCCC